TTAAGATTAATCAAAGTTAGAACAGCCTTAATTTGCAAACCAAAATCCAAAGTAATTCCAATCTTTTTCCAAAAAAAAAAAATAAAACAAATTATATTCTCAAACTATAACAAATGTGCATTTTTGCACTCCAAAATTAGAGAAATTGAAAGGACGAACTAACTAACTTGAGTTTTTGTAATGCTTCACTTGGGCAGCACCAAGGAGGATTGTTGAGATGTGGTGAGCCTAGACATACTAAGTGCACCCTTTTATAGGCACAAAAGTAGGCGACGCAAAAATAAATAATAATAATATATAATTGATAAATCTATTGATTGATTGAATAATAACAAATGAAACGTGAGCAAATTAGAAAATGAGTAAAAAAAACAAAACATAGCAAAAGAGTAGGGCCCAAGTCGAAAGTTGTTTGGATTTTTGTTGTACTAGGAAAAATCATACATGTGATAAATTTTATCTGCTTGTTAATTGGTCCAGTCTTCACAGAGACTAGAGAGGGATATGAGTCGAGGGTGCATTAAAATATTTTCTTTGCATGTGTTTTTACCCATCATAGTATAGTATTTTTTTTTTTTTAATCAACACAGTATTTATTTATGCACGAATATTAATGAATTTGATGTCTACTTTATAAATTAAGAGCATGTTTGTTAGCCAAGATAGGATGAGATTGCACCCTTAATCTGGCCAAAAAAGTTTGTTTGTTTCATTAGATTGTGGCCCGAGATAAAAGTGACGGCTCGCGATCAAAGCGGCATTTATCGGTTGTTTCCAAGATTATTCTATCCAGGCCTCCTCCCCAAGATTGCTAAAATCTGCACAGTAATTTCTTTCTCAAAAGACCTTTATATCACGGTTTACATCTCGAACACCCACATCCTAGAATGGTTGAATTATTACTCAATTGCCATTCCACTTTCTTTCGTGGCTAATCGTTCAATTGCCAGAGGATTGCTGAAATCTCTGGTGAGAAATTCGTTCTTGAAAACATAGGTCGTGGTTGAGAAGGCCGGTGATGGAGTTGACGGAGCCGAGGTCGGGGTAGAGCTCAGGGAAAGTGGGCAATGGGCCTTCATAGCGGAATATATGAAAGTTAGCCCAATCTACATAATTTCTACTTTTAACCTTTTATTTCCAAACAAAAATAAACTGTATGGAGAAAATTACTCCATTCATGTATAAGTTTTTTATTTTGATTGCAGATGTTTTTTTAGTATTTCTGAATAATTGATTTTTAGTTTATCTTTATTATTAATTTCTAACTTGCATAAACTATATGAAGAAAATTACTCCATTGATTTTTTAAATTTTTTTTAGATATTTTAATTTATCACTCATTTATAAATAATTTATTTGCGACTTGAAAGGAAAAAACATCACGTGACACACCATCACTAACAAGTTGAATACAAAATCCATGCAGCTTATCCCACAGTTTCTTTGTTTTTATTTAGGTGTATTGCATGGCTATTGATTTTTAATTTGTTATAACTTATTTTTGTATCTTCGTTTTTATATGTAACTAAATTTAACTAATGTAGTCAAGGAAACAAACTAAAGATCACCCAAAAAAAAAAAATTATAAATAAAACAAAAATTAAGATTTAAAAAAAAAAAAATCGGTTACAAAAAATACCATTAATGAATACTATTATGTAGGAGATGAAATGGTAAAAAAAAGGATAAAAGATCATGTACACAAAAATTAAATTACATAGTTTATTTAAAGGGCAAATAAGTAAATGTAGCATTAATCTTATCAATTATCCAATGCAACAAATAACAACCTATTATATCCTACCATGCTTATCTGGTGTCAATCTTGTACAACAAACTAAGGCATGTATCTTATCTCTACAAGACAATCTTATTAGATAAGATAAATTAATCTAGTCTCGTCTTCCCTAACAAACGAGCTCTAAGTGTGAAGTTACATCAACACAAATACATTAATTGATAAAAAGCTAGAATAACTGTAAAATCGGTCCTCTCTATATGGTTCATTTTCATTTTTTCTCTTCCATATCGACCCTCATCAATATTGGTCTTATAAATTGATATTTTTCTCAATTTTGATCCATTTTTATCCTTAACCTGAAAAAAAAGGAACAATATAGAGGACCGAATTTGAAAAATAAAATATACTCAAACTAAGAAAAATATCAATTCATAGGACTATGGTTGATGAAGGTCAATATCGATGACCAAAAGTGAAATGTGGATAATATAGAGGATCAATTTTGAAATTCTGCCATTAAAAGATATACAACACGTCATTCTTAGTAGGTGTACTGCAAAGAATGGTGAATCCGACAATGAGACTAATAGAATTAGGGGCTAGTAGAACGTATTAATGACAAATGACCAAAACATCATAAACCAAAGCTGTATCATAAAAGGTAAGTTCATTTCTTTCTTCAATGGTATTTCTTGGTTACAGGGATGATAATGACGGCTGCTAAGGGAATCAACATTTATATATCCAACTACAAGACTCATCTAGACCTCACACTTGTCCACACTCTCATTGGTTAAACTATACCCTAGGTCACACACTTACACTTTTCACAGCTGCCAATGGCTCGATCCGGTGGGCCTGTATAATAGCTATCAGGTGTGTGCATGGATGTGGCCACCTGATACAAGACATATTTTCACAGCTGCCAATGGCTCGATCCTGTGGGCCTGTATAATAGCTATCAGGTGTGTGCATGGATGTGGCCACCGAGTGCTGACATTGCATGGCACCATGCTGACGTGGATTCTTCTTTGACTGGTCAGCAGAGTTGCCATATTGAACCTTAGTCTTAATATGCCCCCTCAATTCATGCAATGGCTGAGAATGGATTTTTAATTTTGATCGAAGCCTTGAATAGAATTGACCTGTTAACGGTTTTGTAAAAATATCAGCTATCTGTTCAATTGCTGGAACATGCTGAACATATATGATATTTTTTGCAGTCTTCTCCCTAAAAAAATGTAAGTCCAATTCTATATGTTTTGTTCTTGAGTGTCCTACTGGATTTATTGCAAGATGGATTGCCCCCAAGTTATCTACCCAAAGCACACTAGGTTTCTTGTGTTTAATTCTAATCTCATGCATCAGGGAGCTTAACCATAACACCTCACAAGTGGCTTGAGCCAAACTCCTATATTCTGCTTCTGTGGAGGATCTTGATATAGTGGCTTGCTCTTTAGAGCTCCATGACACCAGATTTCCACCAACAAAGGCACAATATCCTGAAGTTTATCTTCTATCATCAACATATGATGCCCAATCTGCATCTTCAAATCCCAGAATATCAAAATTCAAGCAAGGTGATAGTTTGAGGGAATAATCCTTTGTTCCTGCAATGTATCTCAAAATTCTTTTAACAACCTTCCAGTGGGTATCAAATGGATTTTGCATGAACTGACTAGCCTTATTAACACTATAATTAATATCTGGTCTAGTCATGGTTAGATATTGGAGAGCTCCCACAATCTGTCTATAAAGAGTGGCATTTTCAATAGGACTGTCTGTGTGCTTTGATAGGGATGGTGATGCAACCATTGGAGAACTTACTCCTTTTGCCCCCTGCATGCCAGCCCTATGAAGAAGATCACTTATATAGCCTATCTGATTAAGGTAAAGGCATCCTGATTGGAACTGAGCTTGAATTCCAAGAAAATAGTGAAGAGGACCTAAGTCTTTCAAAGAGAAGTGCTGATGGAGATTGTCAATGAGGATGTTGATTTCAGAGGTAGAGGATCCTGTGATGAAAACATCATCAACATATACCATTATGCTTATTGATGATGTTGGAGAATTTCTGAAATAAAGTGAGCAGACAGCTTTTGAACTCTTAAAACCAAGGGAAAGAAGAACTGAGCCAAATTTTGTTGACCATTCTCTTGAAGCCTGTTTTAAACCATGTATGGGCTTTTTGAGTTTGCAGACCATATGAGGATTTGAAGGAACATCATAGCCTGGAGGTGGCTGCATGTAAATCTTAGTGTCAATGTCTCCATAAAGAAAAGCATTATCTACATCAATTTGTTTTATAGACTAATTATGAGTGATGGCTAATGACAGAAGAAGTTTGATTGTTGTAGGCTTGCCAACTGAGATGTATGTCCCTGTATAATCAATCCCTGCTGATTGAGTATAACCTCGAGCCACTAGTCTAGCTTTATGTCGAGCTACAGATCCATCTGGATTTCTTTTGATTTTAAAAATCCATTTTGAGCCGACAAGTGTCTTATTGTGTGGAAGAGGTATAAATTCTTAGGTGTCATTCTTAATGAGTGCTTCAAGTTCCTTGTTCATGGCTTGTCTCTATTGTGGCCTAGATTGTTGTGTGGCCGTCCCGACTCAACCGCTCGACTCATTGGCAGCGGAAGCTTCTCTTGAGCTCGACCGACCCGCTAGCAAGCCCTCTCGGCTTTCAGGAGGGCTGCTCGTCTACAGTTGACTCCCGAACCGCTGTCCGAGCTCCCGGGCTGATTCAATCAGCTTCTTTCAGGCCCGTTTTTCAGCCTGGTTCAACTGAAATCAAACACACCAATTAATTCCTAATAACAACAATAATCAAAGGGAAAATTACACTAAGTAATATGCTGTAAAGGAATTAAAGAGAAGGAGTGGTAAAACTCCCTTTCGACGACGACTGAAGGAGAGGGACACGAAGTCAGCTCTCCCGGCTCAGATAGCCCTAGAGCCCGGCACCCTCGGTAAGTAGCGGCTCGGCGGTGGTCAACGAACGGCAGGCCCGGTTCCTCAGCCCTTCCCCGGGCTGCACCTCACTCACGAGCCCCGCACCCGGTCCTCTGTCGCGATGCCCCTCCTCTCTCTAAGAGATTCGCCGGAGGCCCTACACAAGGACTTTGGCCGGCGGGTTGAGCAGAGCGACAGTGACGACACAAGGGCTTCAAGACGGCAGCACTCACAGCGACAAGACGATGGCTCTCTCGGCAAAGGTCACGAAGAAGGTATACAGGTAGAAGTCAGGTTTCTTTCACAGAGAGAGAAAATGGAGAGGCGCTGTGCGAGAGAGAAGAGAGCAGAGTGTTTGTCGTCTGTGCTATGTGTAGGCGGAGAGATAGAGATAGGTTTTTATGGTGTGAGTGAGTGGTTGG